AAAAAAAGGAAAAGCCTGTAGTTAGTTCAAGGACTGTTTGTTGCCTTTAGGAGTGTTTTCTGGTCGAGTCTGATAGGGTGCCGGGTGCCACGCCCTGGCCCCAGAGTCTATTTTTTATATTCCCTGGGGACTTCCTTGCTCTGCTCCCCTTGCTGTTCTGTTGCACGTCCTTAGTGTTTTGCCTCAGTGAGGTGGGGTCAGATCGGGCGCAATTCCCACACTGTGTCTCCAGTGGTGTCCCCCGTAGGGCTGTGGGTCAGTGAGGGATGCCGTGTCTCATAGTGGGGCCAGCCATGTGGTCTTCTCTGTGGACTGGCTGCTCTGAGCGGGGATGCCATTGCCTCATGCAGTAGTGTCTGGTTTTGTTTGCCACTCCACTTCCCTACTCCCTTCAATTATAGGTGCTTCTAAGGGAAATTAAGAGGTTCCCACAAGTCAGGATTACTAGACAGGAAGGATACAGTCAATGGTCCCCAGCAGCACCTGTCTCTCTCCATTCCTCAACCTGTCAGCCACATGATCTGTTGCCCTCTGCCTCCACGAGCAGGAAGATAGCCCACTGCTCGGCTCCGTGATCTTCTGGTCTCAGCGCTGCTGCTGCTGCTCTTCTTGCCGCAACCTCTGGTGCCTCCCCCACTCCCGACAGTTATCTGGGATGTGCCGCGCAGATGGCAATTCTTCCAGTGCTCCTGGGATGCCTCTTTCTTCCTGCTGAGGTGGCTCGTCGTGATAGCCGGGGAAGTGGCAACTAAAACTCACCGATCCCATCTGTTAATGTCCCACACATACACGGCAGTATTGTAAACAGGAAATCATGACATCGAATGGCTGTGACAGGCTGCAACGTTGCTAATAATAAGAGGCACCAACATTTTTTAAAGGACAGTCATAGTTGTGGTTAGTCTTGAATGCAGTTCATGCATAATTAAAATATGTAAATCTAATCCAGGGACTTAAGATGACTGATAGCTCATACGGACTTGATTTTCCAAGTTTCCTGTAATGTGTATGAATTGGTTATCAGGCCCCTGAAATCCTAGTGAAGCTAGTTAGTAAAGGTCTAAGAATTCCTGTCTCCTGGACAATAAGTGCTATCCTTTCTTTTTGAGGTTATTGCCAATAGATCTGTATCATGAGGATCCAGGAGTTGTTCAGCTGGCCCTCCTCTTTGCTAGGACAAGAGACACCGATTTCACCAAAAAGGTGGTTCAAAGTGGTGGTCACGGATCGGCCCTAAAATTTCCTTTCCCTTTGCCTCTTTGTCCTGGCAGTTAATGTACTTCCCCTCAGTTTCTCCATCTGTAAAGCCAAAGGGTGAATTACACCCAGCTCTGATAGTCTGAAAAAGCACAACTACCATCGAGTCAATTCCCACTCGCAGCAGCCCCAAGGGTGTCAGATGTAATGGTAGGTCTGCCTCGCCCAGAACAAGTTATCAGGTCTCCTCCAGTCACCCTCCTCCCTGCGTCATTGCAGATCACTCCAGAGCTCCTTCTCCCCCCTTCCAGACAGAGAGGAAGTGGAGGTTAAGGAAAACCTACACAAAGCAAAACAAAACTAGAAGGGAGACACTCTGTTCCGTTTACAGCCCCACGCTCTCTCTGCGTCCACTGAGCGCTCACATGGGGAGTGAAAGTACAACCCATGGTGCTCTCAAAGGAGCCCTTTAGGTAAGCATTGAACTGGTTGGTGGTTCAAGTCCTCAAGGCTGTCTGCTCCCCCTCTAGGGTCACGAGGAGTCAGACTCGACTCCATGGCAGTGGGTCTGCATGGCTGCCTCTACCTGCCTGTCGCCTACAGCCAAGCAGCTCCATTCAGAACCGTGACAGCCCCTGCGTGTCTCCTTGTCACTGAGAGAATCATGGGTCTACAAGCTTAAGAGAGTTGGGTTTCTTGGCACGCACTCTTTGTGTGTGAGATTTGGGAGGTTGCATCCAGAAAGGCGCTCTGCAGTTAGGTGTCCAAAGCGCCACTAGGAAGGAAGGCTTGGAAACTGTCGAGACGGTGGAACGAAGCTCCCGGAGACCTCAGACCTCTCTGAGCTTTATAGGCAGGACTTCAACCACGGAGCCGGTGGAGGATGCACTTGTCAAATGAGAAACCACAAATCTTCTCTTTCAGGTTCAAGAAAGCGCACCTATGAAACCGTCGATTTTCACGCCCCTTCACTTCCTGTGACCTGTGGTCAGGTGAAAGGGACTTTATATAAGAAGAAATTAGAACAAGGTGTGTTTCATTATTTTCTTTTGTTTGGAAGTTCTCTCAGAATCACTCTGTGAATTATACATTATTGTAGTTTGAGTTGAGAAAAGGATACAGGCAGCCTTGCTGCTAGAAGGCTCTGCCGTCACGTCGTCTGAGTTATGTATACCAGAGCACAGTGATGTCCAGTCCTGCACCGTCCTCACAACAGCAGGCGTGTGTGATCCGTGTTCGCAGCCACTGTGTCAATACCTCCTGAGGGTCTCCCCTTTTTTTCTCTTGAAGACCTTCTACTTTACTGAGCAGGCCTTCCGCAGAGATGGGCCAATCCTGATAAAATGGCCTAAGTGCACGAGAGACAGCATTGGCCCTTCTTGGTTCTGAGAGATGTGTGTTCTGGAAGTCCATGGTTTACTCAGTATTTTTCCCCAACACTGAAATTCCAAAGAGTCCGTTCTTCAGTCTTCCACATGCAGAGTCTCAAAAATTATAGAGAGCAGTTCTGCTCTATCCAACAGGGCCTCTATGGTTTGGGAAGATGAATGGACTTGGCTTCCATTTATTAATGCTTCATTTCTTTTTGTCAAATAATAAAAGATTCCATTGTATTAATAATATCGCATTTGTCACATCAGCTGATGGACATTGGGCTAATTTGAATAATGTCACTCTGAATATCCACATAGAAGTTTTTGTGTGGATACATCAGAGAACTTCAAAAAATATATGGAAAAAATAACATTTTCTCTTAATTCCATTTTTCTCTGCACTTAAAAATTTTTTTTTCTCTACACTTTTAAAAGTCAGTTTGGTGTTTTACTTTCTCTCGGGTTTTTATTTGGAAGTATAATTGCTGGATTATACGGTAACTTTATTTAGAATTTCCTAAAGAACTGCCAAGCTGATTGCCCAGCAGCTATGTCATTGTACACCCTGACCAGTGGTGGACCAGAGTTCCAATCTCTGTCCATCTTTGCCAGCACCTACTGTTGGTCTTTCTCATTATAACCATCCTGATGGGGGTGAGATGGCTTCTCACTGGGGTTGTGATGTTCACCTCCTTAATGACTAACGAAAGATGACTTACTCTTATAAATACCCTGGTTGATGGTAGCTCTTATAAATAGCCCACAATTCCCACCGGGCAGCATTTTATCATTGTTTGTAATACCAGCCATCATGATAACAGGGGCTTTGGTGGCATAGTGGTTATATATTGAGCTGCTAACCTCAGGGTCAGCAGTTCATAACCACTGGCTGCTCTGCAGGAGAAGAGTGAGGCCGCCTACTCGCGTCAAGAGTTACAGTCATAGAGACCCACGGGCAGTTCTACTGCATTCTGTGGGATCACGAGGGCTTGATGGCAGTGAGTTTGAGGCTGACCGTGAGTTTAGAGAAATGACCAGCTCTGCCCATAATGCCATCAAACTGGATGAAAATGTGGTAGTAACCAGGCAGCAATACGGGTGGTGATAATCTGAGCTTCAGGGATCTGAGCTACCTGGGATCTCAGCCCCACCTCCTGACCTTGAAAGCCAGATCCAGGACTGTGCCTCCACGTGGGCCTCCAGAGTTCAATAGTAAACTGGAATTGTCTCTGTCTTTGGAATCACTTGCTTCCCTTCATAGGTAGTTTTGGGATATTTTAAAAGTTTATTTGGGTCGTAATTGTCACCATTTCAGTACATGAAGGTGAAAACTCAACGGGACTGCAGGGATCTCTTCTGAGAAGACTTTCAAGTTGAGTTTGAGTTCCTAAGTCTGAGGGAGAATAGACTCGCCTGTTAGGGATTTTGAGCTGGAATCAGTTGACCCCAGTTCCGGTGTGTTAGAAAGCCAGAGTCTGGAGCCGGGATCAGAATCCTCAAGATCAACTTACCCTGGTCTTACAGGAATCTCGGAGAAGTGTATAGAGAGTGAGGATGGACGCTGGTTCACCCCTAGAGAATTTGAAATCAAAGGAGGATATGGAAGATCCAAGAACTGGAAGCTGACTCTGCTCTGTGGCGGACGGCACCTCCAATGGCTGCTAAAGGTATCCCAGTAACAAGGGGCAGGGGACATACCCTGCCTTGTTGTGTCTAATAGCAAGGTCACTGCTCATACACCACGCACTTGTTGTAGCTACAATTCTCTTGCCACTACTTGTTCCTCTTCCATGGACAGAAGGGCCTCCCATTCCTAACCGTAGTACCACCAGCATTTAAGAGGAGCCCTTCAGGAACAGATGCAGGAGCTCAGCGGAGGGAGAGGTTATTCAGATAGAGGTGCATGTAGACAACTTTACTCACTGAGAGAAAGAAGGGTTGATAGTCAAACAACTGGAAAGAAAATATTCCCACAAAAGAAGGGCATGCAAACCAGAGTCAAGACTGAGCTGGCTCTGTGGGTGTAGGTAGGTAGATTACGGGCGATGTGACACAGTCCATCAGTGGGACTCTGAGTTTGAACTCATCACCTTGACATGCAAACATCGCGTCCACTCCTCACTCACTAACAGGTTCCAAAGACCAGGTCGTTCTGTAAAAATTAACATCCTGAAAAACTGGAGGACGGTCACATCATAGAACGTAACTGCCAAACCACAGAGAATCTTGACCTGCCCAAGTAGACACAGAACCTGAATCCTCACAGTCAATTTTACTCTCGCTAGATGGACTCCATCCATCAATGTGCAAAATAGTCGGGTAGGAGATTTCCTTACTCTTGTCCTACATACAAAATGGTGGATGACAAGATAGTAAGTGAGGAGTAGGTGTATGTTAGACAGCCACAAGGCCCCCCACCAACATCACTGTCTTTTTGCCTGGAAACCCGTATTCGACATACAGTGCTCAGCCCCAGGGACAACCTCTGACCATTCCCAAACTGATCTGACTGACCCTGGCTTTCCCCTTCGTGGGCTCTCTGCAGTGCCTACTAGAGCCTCAGTTCTGTCAGTATACTTCCATATATAGTTTTTCTCTCTAATATTTGTCTGTCTTTGGGTGCCCAAGGTTGTCTCCTGCCTGACATCTGGTGCCCTTGCAGCAAGCATGTATCGATTAGATAGTCCTGGTATAAAGGTTCAGTCCCAGTGGCACCGATGGAAATGGATAGGAGATGGTGGGTCGAACAGATATTGTGACAGAAAATCTTTCAGGGCTTGGGCATGAAGCACAAGGGAAAGGAAAAATGCTCTCATGATGATTGTCTGTCGGCATTGATTGACGTCTAATAGTGGTACAAGCAGGAAGGGTTTATGGTTTCTCATGTGGACCCCTCGGGTGTGAGCTGCCAATGGACCCCCAGGTCGAATGATTAGGAAGAGACTGGAAATGCCAGACTCCCAGAATAGAAGTACAAACTAACCACATACTGACATCTTTTTGTCTTCCAGAAAGGGTTTCTACCATATCCTCCAAGAATATACCAAAAGAGAAAAAAGGTGATTATGGCATAATTTTCAACAGGGATTGATAAAGGGTATCAAAGTGGGAAAGCCATCCTGATCATGGAGTACCTAAAAGCTTCCATCATTATGTGATGGGATTATTTTTAATTTGAGCCAAGGTTTTCTTTGTTGTGTTTTTTCATTGATTTTACAGTGTTCTCGCTGTAATGAAATCAGATGGAGCAAACATTTCCTCAGTTATTCAAATTATCCCAACCTACTCGCTAGTTCACCTTGGAACGATAGGAAACCATTTGTCATTTCACCAGGCGGACTACCAAAATCCTAATTATTTTCAGTTCAGTAAATGTACCCACAGATGCACAAAGTTTGTTCTCGAGGCCAAACGGTGCACTCTTCCTCAGGCTGCTGCTGTTGGAGAGGACGATATTGGGATGCGTGTGTTGCTTGTAAGAGTGCGGGGCCTGGCCTGGAGGAGGTTTTCCTTTGCATTTGCCTTCACCACCGGAACTGGGCAGACCGCCCTTCTACTGGTGTGAGTGATTTCTCAGTGAAAGGAGGCTCAGGAGGCTGGAGGGAGCAAGCAAACAGATTCAGGACACACTGATAACTTGTGTCTTCTACAATTTGTTTCAAAATTAATTATGAATGATGAGGGAGATAACTAGAGAAATGTCATTCTTAACATGGCCACCCAAGAGATTCACAGAATTCTAAGGTTCTTACATACAGATCAGACTTGTAGAGCCTCATATTCTACTGGAATTTTACATATTTGATGTTTAGACGGGTGTGAACTCTCAGAGTGTGGGGCACGTCATTCACTAGGCTTGCTGAGGGAGAACCTAATCAGGGAGTGCATGGAAAAACAGCACGCACACAAATCACTCAGCCCTCTGCCTTTCCCGAGATGGAAAGACAGTGGGTGGTGGTGCCTGGTCAGTTCCTACCCATCACAACCCAGGACCCAGCAGAGCCAAACACCACCCGGTCCCGCACTGTCCTCACAATTGCCGTTATCGCTGTCAGTCCGTCTCCCTGAGGATCTGCCACCTCCTCGCCGACTCTTTACCAAACATGATGTCCTTTCCCGGGGTCTCTTCTCGCCTGATGACGTGTTCAAAGTCCACCAGATGAAGTCTTGCCATGATGTGCTTGTTCCAACACAGATGTGTTTGTTCTGGAAGGCCATGGTGTGCGAGACCCATCACTAACACTGCAATTCAAAGGCATTAGTTCTTTGTTGCTCTTCCTTATTCCCTACCCGCCGTTCACGCGCATCCTGTAAGAACAGTGACTTGGGTCAGGGGCATCTCACTCGGAAGGTGACATTTTTGCTCTTCCACACTTTAAAGGGGCCTTTTGCATCCAATTGGCCCAGTGCACTGTGCTGTTTGATTTCCTGACTGCTGTTTTCAGGAGTAGCCAGTGAAATCCTGACAACTTCCGTATTTTCTCCGCTAATCATTTTGTTCCCTGGTGGTCCAGTTGAAGTGTTACACTGAGTTGTCATCAGGACTGAAGGCTGTCGGCTTTGATCTTCATCAGTAAATGTGTCAGGTCCCGTGCATCGCAGATTGTTAAGGACACTTCCTCCAATCCTGCTGCCTACTCTTCCCCCTGCCCGGCATCTCACGATTTGCTCAGCTTCTAGAGCAGCGGTTCTCAATCTGTGGGTCCCGACCCCTTTGGGGGTCGACCCTTTCACAGGGGTAACCCGATTCATCACAGTCGCAAAATTACAGTGATGAAGTAGCAATGAAATAGTTTTATGGTTGGAGGGGTCACCACAACATGAGGAATTCTATCAAAGGGCCGCGGCATTAGGAAGGTTGAGAACCACTGATCAAGAGTGAACAAGTAGGTATAAAAGGACTACCACAATGTGCCCGTTTCTGATTGATACTGTGCAGTGTCCCTTGGTTGTGTTTGAGTGATTCCGTTGTTCTATGTCCACGTACTACATGCGTACAGGTACATGTGGATGAGTTGCCCCTCTTCACGATGCTATCCGTCGTTTGCTGTGATCCACACAGTCAAATGCTCTGGCATCATCGAAAACACCATTAAACGTCTTTCTGGTCTTCTCTGCCTTCAGCCAATATCCATCTGACATCAGCAATGACATTCCTTGTTCCGCATCCTCTTCTCGTCCCAGCTTGAATTCTGACCCTCATTGTCAGTCTACTGCTGCAACCATGTTCCCGTTATCTTCAACATCTTACTTGCATGTGATGTCATGATTTTTACAAATTTCTGCATTCTCTTGGGTCACCTTTCTCGGGAATGGGCACAAATCGGGATCTCCTGCAGTTGGTTCACCAGGGAGCTGTTTCCAAGTTCCTTGGCATAGATGAGTGAGCGCTGCCCACATGGCATCAGCTGATTGAAACATTTCAGCTTTGACTCGGTCAGTTCTGGAGCCTGGGGTTGGACCGTGCCTTCAGGGCAGTGTGACTTACTTCTTCCTTAATGCCATCAGTTCACGATCGTATGCAGCCCCTTGAAAAGGTTGAACATCATCAGCCAATTCCACTTGGAATCATGACTTTGGGTTTTCCTCTCATCTCCTTTTGATGCTTCCTTCACCGTGTAACAATTTGCCCATAGATTCTTTTGATGTTACAACCTGAGGCTTCAGTTTTTCCTTCCGTTCTTTCCATTTGAGAAATGCTGACGGTGTCATTTCCCCTTGTGTATTCAGTACAATTACAATAGAAAAGTCGGCACATTGACCTTTCCCCAACTTCCGAGGGTCACACCGTAGACATTACGCAAATGTGCCAGCGACTTCCAATAAACATAGTCTGTCCTTCTGTGTAGGTCTGACTGTCATTACCTGTTGTTGCCTCCATAATTGATGTCTTTTCCTGGTCCAGTGACAGTTCATGGGTCATTACTGCCTCTGGAGATCTTCTTGCTGACCGAGCACTTAGGCTTCTGGAAACATCACTGTTATTTTCAGCACCACATGAAAGTTAACTTGGTCACGACAAGCCTCGTTTGTATCTTTTGGTGACAGCTCCCAAGCTTTAAATAATCGAATCTGCTAATCCAGAAGAGTCATTTATTGTCTACTATCAAAGTTCTCCTTAGAAGTCAGAATGGTGAAACTTCATTTCACTTACTGTGAACATGGTATCAGGAAGTCCCATCCTTGGGGAAGGTCATCATGGTATGATAGACTATCAGGAGCACAGAGGAAAGCACTCAGTGAGGCAGGCTGACACGGTGGCTCAAACGCAGGAACACTTGTGAGGAGGACAGGAGCTGGCAGTATTTCCTGATCTGTGCGGTGTCACTGTGTGTCATAACTGACTGACTGTCCAGCACACGTACAGCAGAGGGTCTCCAGGAGTAATAAAAAGTAGATTGGACTCCCATGAAGGAGGGCTGTTGAGACACGGATGGATACAGCAATGATACTCAGTATTGTCACTCAGTCTCTCTTTTTCCAACAGAAAAGACTGGAGCATAACATCAGGGCTGTAGTTGACCCCCATGTAAGTACTAACTCCCTAACCAAAAGGAGGATATGTTAAATTTTCACAGGTTGAGTTTAAGGTGCGTTTCAAAAGCCCCAGAGGAGATGTTGGTGGCCATCAGGATGTATCCAAGTGCAGAAAAGAGGCTGAAAAGATCTGGGCTCTGTCAAGATGTAACTACAGAGATGAGAGTGACTCTAATGACCTCAGGGAGACAAGGGCAGACACCTCAGGCATTCGGTCCTTTAAAGTTGGTAAATCCCCCTCCGTAAGTCGATATGGTCATTATAGTGCAGCCAGATGGGTTTAATATTGAACATTTCAGGTTCTGAAACCCTTGTTTAATCTGAAGGGTTATGGAATTACTGAGAGTCCTAGAAATTATTCATTTCATTTTGTTGCTAGTTTTCCAGTGTTACAAGGTATGGTTTTATAAAGAAAACAGGTTTTGGGTGGACAAACAGCCCTTCTTTCTGAACTTCACTGCAATCACCACTCGGTGTGGTTCATGAACATGTCAGGCAGAATCATGTATGTGCCCAAGCTGTGTATGCAAAGGCGGTGTCACGTTCTCTGTTCCTACGGTGTTAGCCTTTGGGGCCTCGGCATTCCTGGAAACATGGGCCTTATTGTGTCTTCCAGCCTGACAACTCGAATGACTGTGCGGTGTGCCAGACTGGAGGCGAGCTCTTCTGCTGTGACACCTGTTCAAGGTCTTTTCATAAGGAATGCCACATCCCACCTGTGGAAGTCGAGAGGTTAGTGAGATGCAGCACCAGGCCCCTCCCTCCTCATAAGGGATCCTTCCCATTGCTGTACACCTTCACCTTGCAGGGTTCCTGCTTGCAGACAGACAGGGAAGGCTGTGTACAGATAGGCAGGCAAAGAGCAGTGTCCTTGAGTACCAGGATATAGACAGTGCAATCCAGAGCTGGTTAACAAGACTGGAAGCAGAAGTTTACTGCCCTTTGGCTTTCAAAGACATCTCTTCTGAGGACAGTCATTGGGCCCCTTAGCCTATCCCCTGTGACTGCCCTGTTCTAGAAGTTCCGCAGCATGGACTTCTGTTCAGAAGGGATGGGGACAGAACGGTCCAGTTGTTTGTCTTCTGTGCTTAGGCAGAAAAATCAGGTATCATCACCCAGCTCCTATATTTCATGCTGGTCCCTTCACACTGATGAAGATCCAGGTCCTCCATGAACGAAGGCCCATGCTCTGATACCTGGCAGGCAGGACTCCGTGTGTTCGTACAGAGAAAAAAGAATCCATCACTCACCATGACAACACTTTCTGTGGGCTGACACCCCTGGTAATACCACCGATACGGGAATCTTTGGCTTGAGAACCCACATGAGGGTTAGGAAACTCTGAGAGGGGCCTCCCATTCTTGAGAGGAGCCCATAGGGATGGTAACTGCCTCCAGAGCCTTGCACACAGCCCACTTTCTCCCCAACCTCTCAGGGACCCCTGGAGCTGCATCTTCTGCAGGATGAAGGATGCCCCAGGCAGCCCGCCGTGTCAGCACGAGTCTGAGGCCCTGGAGAGGCAGATGCTGCCTGAGGAACAGTTGGTGAGTAGACTGCACGTCAGCCCAGCCTTGTCCTTTGCCGTCACCCAAGAGAAGCAGACCGCACAAAGCACCCCAAAGGGGTGTGCTCTTCCAGTCAGGCCGAATCACGTGGTTTCGACACCACAGCTTGTCATCACGCTGCTCGGGACCTGTTTCCAAGAGCCCCCATGCTTGGGGACCCTTCGGGATGACCGGCCTGCTGAGTCATGGGCTCTGTCTGAGCGTGGGCTGGGCTCGTGCCTCTAAGCTGCTGCTCATTTACAGCCTCCTTCTTTTGCAGAAATGTGAGTTCCTCCTCTTGATGGTCTATAGCTGTTCAGAGAGCTCCTTTTTTGCCAAAATTCCATATTACTATTACGTAAGTAACAACAAGCCGTGACTGCAGTTTGCCCTGATATTGTGTGTGCCTGAAAACGGTCGGTGGTGTGATGTGTGAGCCGAATGGGGGAGGGGGAGGGTTGCTGAGAGCACACGGTGTTGCTAGCTTTCACATGTTGTATTTCCACCAAATTTGAGGGTGGGCATTGAACTATGCAAATAGTATGACTAGGGAAGGCTCTGGTGGTATAGTGGATTATGTATTGGGCTGATAACTACAAAGTTCATGGTTCAAACCCACCAGTCCCTCTGCTGGAGATAGACGAGGCTTTCTGCTCCTGTAAGATTTGCAGCCTCAGAAACCCAGAAGTCTACCCTGCCCTTCCTATAGGACCACTATGAGTAGCAGTGAACTAACGTCAGTGGGTTTGGTTTGGGGGAGTCTGATCATTGGCATTTTCCCCCAGAATAGAGAGAAGGTCCTCAAGGAACCCATGTGGTTGAACAAAATTAAGAAGAGGCTGAATCAGAAGGGTTACCAACAAGTGGAGGAGTTTGTGAAAGACATGCGCCTCATCTTTCAGAACCACAGAGCATCCTTCAAGGTGGGTGGCTTTCCCTACTTCTGCCTCCTTGTCTTTCTACTGGGCCCCTCTTCGCCTTGTTCTGGGGCCTAGGAGACTGCACGGGATTCCAGAAGTGAATAGCTTTATTAGTTCAGAGCCAAAGCCCACAGTGGCAAAGTTAAGTGAGCTAACTGGTTTCCCTGCCCCCAGAATCCCTCTGCTCTGCAGCAGACAGTGGAGCCCAGAGAGGACACACTGCTCCAGCTCTTAAGATGAAGAAAACCCCATTGCCAAGTCACATTGAACTTGACTGTTCTCCCGAATGCACTAGATCAAACTTCTCAGAACTCCCAAAGCCCAGATTGTTCCCATAAGACATTCCTAGTGATGGTCCCTGTAGTTAATGGGACTTCTCAGACAGAAGGAAATGACCATTGGAGAAAGAGGTGGCCATGCTTGTCCCTCAGATTGTTCTGTGCTTCTGCATTGTTACAGAGAACAGGGATGACTTTGATAACTCTATCTAAAATACTTAAGTAGCAGGCCCCGGGTGTGGTCTAGTTACTGCTTACCCTTGGTCTCGGGAACAGAAGTTACTTGTGGCCTGATGAGTCTTTAGGACTTGAAGCCTAGTGTAACTCTGGCTTTACCCCTTGGCTGTTTTCCACAAGAGCCCTGTTCATTCTGGTCTGCAGGTGTCTACCAATGGGAGCAATAGATGTAATTATTCTCGTCATTTCTTTCTTTCAGGACAAGGACTTTGGCCAAATGGGACTTAGACTGGAGGCTGAATTTGAGAAGAATTTCAAGCAAGTGTTTACTATACAGTAAATAAGTGAGAACAGTTCTCTTCGGTGTTGATGCTCAGGTTACCTGAGCAAATACCCTTTTCTGCCCAACCCCAGAGCACCTCCTGGGACCAGATGGGCTCAGCTCCATCTGGAGGATCGGCTTCCCGGCCTCATGACGAAGCCAGCCTTGGTGCTTCCCATGGGATCAGCCAGATGCATCCTTGCTTAGCTTTTCTGCGCTCCCCATTGTTTACTCCCTGCCCTAGAGAACGAATAATAAATCCCTTACCTAAGAGCCTTTGTCTCATTCTGTGCTTTCAAAACCTGGACCAAAGAGAGCAGGTCCTAGAGGCATAGAAAGCAGGCCTTTAGGAAGTGATTCTGCAGTGAAATCAGTCGAGCCAGAAGATGACCAGGGGAGTGGAGTGTTGATGGTCCCTGGAGAGCTGTAGCAGGGCCATTGTTAGAATTTGATGTGTGGCCACTGGGTGATCCACTCGCAGGTACAACCAACTGGCATTTAAAAAGTAAGGGAGAAGTCCTTGTGTGGCTTTTGAAAAGAACCACTGATCTTTTGGGAAGGGTAGATGTCAGGCATAGAGCTATTCATAGCGCCTACCCACGGCCGTCTTGGGCAGCACTTACAGAGATGCCCACACTTCCATCTGGAAGGCAGACAAGGCCGTGAAGAGGGTCTAGCACAGATCCTAGATTGGGTTTTCTTTTTTTTTAGATCATTGCATTGGGGGCTCTTAACCGCTCTTATAACATTCCTTACATCAATTGTATCAAGCACATTTGTACATATGTTGCCATCATCATTTCCAAAACATTTTCTTCTTGAGCCCTTGGTATAAGCTCCTCTTTTCTCCCCTTCCTCCCCCACCTTGATCAATTATATATTGATCTTGTGAATCCTTGATCAATTATATATTGTTATTATTTCATATCTTACACTAACTGTTGTTTCCCTTCACCCACATTTCTGTTATTCACCCCCTTCCGGTGGGGGGGCTATATATTCAACCTTGTGATGGGTGTCTCCTTTCTCCCCCTTCCCCGTCCCCGACCATCTCCACCCTCATGATATCGCTACTCCTACTGTTCCTGAGGGGTTTATCCATCCTGAATGCCATGTGTCGAGAACTCATTAACTGTACCAATGTGTCTTCTCTGGTCTAGCCAGATTTTTAAGGTAGAACTGGGTCATGGTGGTGCAGGGGAGGAAGCATTCAGGAACTAGAGGAATGACGTGTTTTGTTGATGCTATACTACACCTTGGTTGGATCATCCCTTCTTTATAACCCTTCTGTTGGGAGGATGTCCAGTTGTCTACAGATGGGCTTTAAGTCTCCACTCCTACACCCCTCATTCACATCAATATAATTGTTTGTTTTGGATCTTTTGATACCTGCTACCTGATCCCATCGACACCTTGATCACACAGGCTGGTGTGCATCTTCCACGTGGGCTTATTTGCTTCCCTGCTAGAGGGCTGCTTGTTTAACTTCAAGCCTTTAAGACCTCAGACGCTGTATCTTTTGATAGCCGGGCACCATCCACACTCTTCACCACATTTGTTTATGCACCCATTTTGTCTTCAACAACGATGGTGAGAAGATGAGTATCAAAGAGTGTCAGGTTATCAGAACAAAGTGTTCTTGTGTTAAGGAGTCCCAAAGTCTGTCTGATATCTTAATATTTAACATAAAAATTATGTACATTGGCCTCTATCCCTTTCATTATAAATTAATATATTTACATACACACGTGCCTATAGATATACTTCTATAAATAGCTTTGCCTCCTATTTATTTCCCCTCTTTCCTTTCAACAGCACTTAGTTTTAAGAATGTCAGAATTTCAGAGAAGATTGAAGGGTAAAGTTTGGGTGGTCTCTTGGGCCAAAGTCAGACCCTGGTAAAGAAGGAGCAGGGTCATGGAGCTCAGACCAGGGATATCTGGGCTGATGTTCATAAGACCCTTGACCTCCAGATTCCCCTCCATCCTGCCATCTTCCCCGAATGAAGACTGCTTGGACCTTCTATAATACATTGGTCCAATATAGTGGTAGGTATGTGTTCGACACACTAAGACATAACACATTTTTGACGCAACAAATTTTCTGACTGCCTTGCTAAATCACATGCTCTCCAGAGGGTGGGAAATAAGTCTTATGATCCTGCTGTTTGGTGAAATGTTTAGGAGTCCAGTGATCCGAGGCTTGTCAAGGTCGCTCCTCCAAAGTAGAGGCCAAGCTGGACCACCTTCATCTGCTACCACCAAGAAAGAAGTACACTGCCGGTAGTCCTCTCCAGGTAATAACCCTGACTGACAGGTTGAAATTATTCTCTTTGTAGAGTGTTGTCTGTACTGTCTTAATAAAAATATACTACAACCAGTGCTGTCAATTAATATATTTAGGATATTGCTACATGCCCATAAATAGAGGTCTATATCCACCTGTAGCTTAGCTTTCATTTTTGATCAAGCTCTATTTTGCTCCTTTTGGTTATTTTTGGTGTTGAAACAAGTGCTGATTTGAACCAAGCAGGAGTATAGTCTGTGTTTCAAAAGCACAGACTGAAGTTGGCCCCTGTAGGTGGGAGCCCGGTGACTTCCACTTAGGGACCCCAGGTCCTTGTGCAAGCTATTTGCCTACTTGTGCACAGGCTTCCCCTGTAGAATGAAGATACTGGGCGTGCGCAGTTCACTCACTTATTATGAGGATTGGTGAGTTCAGATGTGTTGTGCTGGCTCTGTGCGGAACAGGTAGATGACTAAATCTTGTAAAGGCTGCACACACACACACACACACACACACACACACACACAGACCCTCATGTCAATTAGGGCTCTTTCCAGGCAGAGAGACCATCTCCATCTGATGTAGAGAGCACTCACTGGTGAGACAGGGTAACAAGCAGGCTGGCACACCCAGCCTTGTCTCAGAGCAGCCTCCAGAGCCGCCCCAGGAACAAAGCCCGGGGGACAGCTCGGCCTAGCTGTTAGGGAGCAGCCATGGACAGACACTGCCCACCTGTTTGAACACCTTAGGATACATCACTCAGGAATCAAGCTCCCCACACAGTCGGCTTAGCCTGGCTCACAAAAGGACAGCATGTCAACAGCAGTCCCTCTACTCCTGACGCGACCAGGAATAGAAAGGCAGTTCATGCACAGAAACACCATGCCCTTAGGAAACAGGGACAGAGAGACTGGACAGTGAAGGAAAGCAAGGCTGACCCCAGGTGGGACCAGGGCTCTAACAGGAGGAAGGGGTAGTTCCAGGCACTCGGAGGGGGCAGAGCCTGGGGCCTTGTGCTTATCAAGTGGGACAGGATCCCCTTGTGCCCACTGCCATCTCCTGCGGAGGCAAAGGCTGTGCTGGAGTCGTAGAGAAGAGAAGGGGTCACAACCCACGAGACTGCCAAGGGCAAAGGGAGGGGACTAGGATGTCAGTGCATTTTACTTGGGCTCAGAAAGGTAGACTCTGCTGTGATGCCAGATGCCTGGCTTTATTCTGACCTTAGAGGGGAGCCTGCATCTCGGGAGCTGCAGGAGGACCTGGACCGAATAGCTACCTCCTCATTGCAAGATCTCAAGCTCTTTGTAAGGATCCCTGGGCTGGAATCTCCTCTTGGTGCCTCCTCTGGTCTACAGCACCTGTTCGCTGAATTGGAGAGAGGTGCCCTCTGGAGGGAAGTTGGAAAAGGGCTTCCTCAAGGTCACCCCGGTAGGTGACATTTCTGGATGAGATTCATTAAGGTGAATCATTTGAAACTACCAGTGGCTCAGAGGGAAAATCACTGCTTTCTATTCCTGGGACGTTATAAGCTCACGTGGGCAGTTCCGCCCTGGCTACAGGGCTGAGTGGACATTGACTGGGAGGCAGTGAGGTTGGTGTGGGTTTTCTCAAGACCTCAGCATCAGTGTCCAGGAGGTGAACTTGTCTCAGTGGCCCCTACCAGGCCAAACCCTCCCTCGTACACAGCTGGGTGCCATTGCTGTCCCAGTTTGATGCAGAGCAGGATGGGGGCAGAGCAAAGGCTGTGGCCTGAATTCCTTGCCCAGAGGTGACTGCTTCACAAGCCCTTGAAGCAAAAACCCCATTGGGTAGTATTCCTCAATAACCTCCTTTGGCTCAGGTAGAAAGCAAATGTTTCGAGAATGATGAGGACAATGAATGTACAAATGTGCTTGACACAATGGATGTATGTAGGGATTGTGCTAAGCGTTGTATGAGCCCCCAATAAAATAATTTTTAAAAGAAAAAAAAATTTTAAATAGAGACAAACAAACAAAAATAACCTCCTTTGACAAAGAAAACCATTCTTGGGCTTCTCAGTGGCAAATTACATGTCTTACCTGTATAAATCAGTGGTTCTCAACCTTCCTAAGGCCGAGACCCTTTCATACAGTTCCTCATGCTCTGGTGACCCCCCAACCATAAAATTATGTTCATTGCTACTTCATAACTGTAATGTTGCTACTGTTATGAATCATAATGTAAATATCTGATATATGCAGCATGTATTTTCATTGTTACAGATTGAACATAATTAAAGATTAAGTTCCCATGGTACAGATTTTGTTTTTGCAGTAGTTGATGATTTTACAGTACATGATTTTACATTTACCCAGTAATTATAATACATGAAGTGTCATTTTGCCTCCAATACTGCTGCTTTCAACACACTAGCTGCTTTTAACAGAATAGCTGCTTCCAACACAACAGCTGCTCTCTACACAGTAGCAGCTCTCTACACATGCTCAGGCCCAGCTCTCTTCCTGCTCAGGCCCAGCTCCCCCACTGGACACGGCCCTGGGCCCCGAAGGAGAGCTGCTCCCAGACCCAGTAGGGCCAGAACCCAGGACGGCAGGTGTCACATACACCTGTATTTGTACCGTGATCATGTCATCACACTGAGTACTCGTATGTGGGCGTATCTGCATGTGCGCAGACCCACCTGGAGACAGAGGACATAGCTGAGCAGGAGGAAGGTAAAAGGAAACAGAGGAAGGACCTAGGAAGCAAAGCAATGGATAGAGGTATAATCATAGGTTGGTAGCTATGTAAATACATTAATCCACAAAAATAGAGGTATGTTAGTCTGGGCAGACTGGAGAAACAAATCCACAGATATGCATACATATAAGAGAGAGTTTTATATAAAGGGTAAGTGTATATTAAGAAAGCATCCCAACCCAGTGCTGTCCAAGCCCATAAGTCCAAAATTAGCCCTTACGTCTCACACTAATCTACAAAGTCCTCCTCAATCTCACAATTCACACGCAATGATGCCGACTGCAGGAGGAAAGACAAATCAGTGAACGTGTAAACATCTCAGCGCTGGCAGGGGTCCCCACACGGCTGCTCCAGCACCCAGGGCTGCATCAGGGTAGGTCCATGTGACTTCTCCGTGGGGATGTCTTGCAGGAAGTAAGCCTTGCCAGCCAAAGCAGGGAACTGGCTAAGGCAGTTGCACCCTGGTCCAACCATCAGAGAGCAAGGGACCCGAGAACTAGAAAGGCAAGACTCACTGGGCCATTTAACTCTCTGCTCTTCAATTAATCCCACATATGTTTATCAGCCTGGTTGGCACAATAAACCTTAAGGTATTGGCCTATGTACATATATTTATATGGCAATACACAGAGGTAGTGGACTCTGGACATTGCTTAAAGCTGCCTCCCCCAAACAAGTCTCTTTGAAGTTTCTGTCTTCTCTTTAGCATGCATCCTACCCTATCAACTAGGACAACCTGTTTTAGTATTTTTAAATGCTTTAAACTACTTGGCTCCAGTCTTTGGCTGCAGGCCGGGAGCGATCTCCCTCTTTGTCTAACTGTTTTGCAGACATGCAGGAGGTCCTCCTCCCAGGTGGTCACGCACGCCTCTCGGCTTCCTCCAGGCCTACACCAAATGCCACTACCTTGTTCCCTCAGGGGTTCACCAGATGCAGGGTATCCCAGGAACAGAAAAAGAGCACTTATTCTAGCCTGCCTTCTTCCCCTCTTGGTCATCTTGGCCAAAAGGAAGGGAGTTACAGTGACAGGACCCCCTCCACCCCAAAATCCACCAGCCACCCCTCCGAAGGCAGAGGCAGCTGAAACAAGCTTTGCCGGTCTTTGCACACACAGGTGGGTTGGGAGCTGGCCAGCTCCAAGCCCACAGGGACGGCCTCTTTCCTGGTCCTCGGGCCTGGCTGTGAAACCTTCCCCTGGCTTCCAGCTGCCTCATTCCATCTGGGCCCAAAGCCACCCTGGAGATGGAAGAGGAGGAGGCATTGGCTTGTGGCCACCCCATAAGTCAACATTTTCACTTCTCTTTTCCCTTTGGGGCGGGGCTATGGGGTGAGTCAGTTCGCAGACTTCCTGCTCAGGCCCAGCTCCCCCACTGGACAGGGCCCCGGGCGCCCCAAAGGAGAGCTGCTCCCAGACCCAGTAGGGCCAGAACCCAGGACGGCAGGTGTGGACAGCCAGCTCAGCCCCAGGTGAGTCTGTCTCCTCCTCCATCAGCCTTCTCTGGGGCAATGTGACTACTCAGGGGTGAGAGGCAGGCCCTGGGCCAGTAAGGCTATGAGGCCATAAAACAGGAGCTGAAACCATAAAAGATAGATAGTGGGGATGCCGGGCCAGGACGCACCCACAGGACTCCTCAGTGTTTAGAAATGACCTTGAAACTGCCACGTGTGGGCCAGCTGTCCCTTGCAGGCCGGGCTGGGGACCAGTGCTTCCTTGTGACCTGAGAGCCCGTCATCTCACAGAGGAAAGTTCAGCTTCAGGACTCAGAAGAACAGCTGACTGAACGGGGGCTTCTGCGTCTGTCCATCCCTCTCTGGCTCAGGGGTCTGACCTCTTTGACCCCCCGCTCTTGATGAAGAGAGGTTCAAAAGATGGCAAAGACCCAAAGATGCCAAAAGGATCGCGCAGATTTGTATTTTTAAGCCAACTTTCTGTTCTGAGTTGGGTTAGACCTCTGCCGGGAGAGGGGGGCTTTCTACTCCCCTAAGCCTCAACCTGTGGCACGAAAGCTAAAGTAGGTAAAAAAAAATGACTTTATACAGATAATTTATTTTTCACTTAAGCTTTATGTTGTTACTTGATGGGAACAAGCTTAGAGTGGATGTGTAGATTAGGTGCATGTGAAAGTAAAGGTTTAATAGGGCTAAGACAGCTATAAGAAGAGGTAAGATAAGGTTGGGGTTTTCATTAACCCTATAACGCCTGAATTTTTAATTTCAGGAAAAAAAGTTTTTGTTTTTATTCTTTACTTTCATAGTTATCAGTATATATTAATATGTACATTTAATTAAATGTTAAGAAAACATCGCGCTCGGCGTTATAGGGTTAACTCATGCATAATGAATGATTAGGGCATAAAGCCTGATAATGGGGTAAGCCTCCCATAGCTAGAAGAATAATCAAGAAAGCCATTCTTATTAATGGTGAATTACTTCATGCTATTGATATCAACAATATTAAGACTATCAATGTTGTAGTTGTGGTTGATGGAGAGAGGTAATTAATCAATAAGATAAATGTTGGTGTAAAAATAATATAGAATACTAAATGTAGCACTATTAAGGAAGGATTATAGATTATGATAGCTGATATTCAGCCTATATGGGCAATAGATGCATAAGCTGTAATTTTACGAAGCTGAATTTGGTTAAGTCCTCCTCAGCCTCCGATTAAGATAGATAGTGTAGCTGAAGTTAAGATAATGTCAGTGTTGATGGAGGGTGAAATTTGATAAAGAATAGATAGAGGGGCAGGTTTTTGCCAGGTTAAGAGAATCAGGCTCGTTGATAGTAGGGTTCCTTGAGCTACCTCTGGGACAAAAGTGAAAGGGAGCTATACCTAGCTTTATTATCGTAGCAATAAGCAAAATTATTGGAGCGGTTGGGTCGTTCATCTCTGTGAGTGTCCACTGTCCTGAGTTTATGAAATTAAATAAAGCTGCTCTAAGTAGAAGCATTGAGGCAGAAGCTTGAATAAGAAAATATTTTGTTGCAGCTTCAATTGCTCGTGGGGAGTGAGATTTTATAATAAGAGGGATAAACAAATATGTTTGTTCAAAGGCCTATTCATGTCAGTCGTCAATGGGAACTAATTATAGTAATAAGGGTGCCTGAAGTTAAGGTTATAAAAATGAAGATAATAACGAGGGGATTTATTAGTATGGGAAGGAATAAACCAACATTTTCAGGGTATGAGCCCGACAGCTTATTTAGCTGACCTTACTTAGAATATGGTGTAATGGTAGCACAGAGATTTTTGAATTCTCTAGTTTAAGTTCATATCCTAGAATTCTAGAAACAGGAGGATTTTAATCCCTTTTATTTACTCTATCAAAGTCATTCTTTTATCAGACATGTTTATATATTTGAGGGGGGACTTGCTAGCATAATGGGAATAGAGATATGCATATGCATAGAGCTAATGTGAGAGGGAGGAAATTTTTTCATAAAAGATGTATTAATTGATCATAATGGAATGTGGATATGATACTCGTACTCATAAGAAACAGATGGTAGTAAAGTTTTAGTTATAAAATTTAATGTAAAAATTTCTGAAACTAAGATATCGTGAAAACACCTAGAAATAAAATGGTGGTAAATGCATTTATTATAATGATGTTAGCGTAAGCCTGAAACGAATTCGGATTTGCCTTCCATTAAGTCAAATGGTGCTCAGTTAGTTTTAGCTAATGTTGAGATAATACATATTATGGCTAGGGGTCACAAAGGGATTAAGGGTCATAAATGTTCTTAGGTAAATGGTAAGTGGTGCTAATGAGAATGATCTGTTGATTAATATTAATGATAAGAGAATAATAGCTAGTGAGACTTCATCAGAAATTGTTTGAGCTATGGCCCGTAAGGCCCCGATGAGGGCGTCATTAGACGTTGATGCTCAGCCTGCTCAGAAGACAGACTAGACTGCTAGACTAGCTATGGCTAGGATGAAGAGTAGGCCCAGGCTTAGATTAACAAGAGGGGAAGGGAAGGGAAGTGGAATTCATGAGGTTAAAGCTAGAGCTAGTGCAAGAATGGGAGCTAAGATCAATATTATTATTGAGGAAGCTAGTGGGCGGAGGGGTTCTTTAGTGAAAAGTTTTTACTGGCCTCGGCAATTGGTTGGAGGAGGCTATACGGACCAACAATATTGGGTCCCTTTCAGAGTTGTATATAGCCTAAAACTTTTCATTCAAGGAGGGTAAGAAAAGCTATGGTTAAGAGAATTGGGACAAGGAGAGAAATCAAGTTAATCAAAAACATTGTTAAGGAGAGGAATTGAACCTCTGACAGCAAGGGTTTAAGTCTTGTACAATGAGCAGGCTCTGCTGTCTTAACAAACCCTCTCTAGTGTGGACTGTCAGTAAGAAATTAAGATAATATCATTACTTAGGTTAAGGCGCTTTGGCAAAGTTGGTCTTATGTCTCTGGTCCTTCCGAACTGGGAGAAATACTCGCATAGATAGAAACCGACCTGGATTACTCCAGTCTGAATTCAGGGGCATTAATCATTGAACAACAACCATTGATAGGTGCCGCACCATCTGGATGTCCTGATCCAACATCAAGGTCATAAACCCTATTGTCAATATGAACTCTATAATAGGATTGTGCTGCTATCCCTAAGGTAACTTGGTCCCTTGATCAAATAATTGGGTGAATAAATGATTTAAACTTTGACTGGTTGGTCTAGGTAAAATATCATTTGGAGGTTAATTTATGCTCCGAGGTCACCCCAACCAAAATTTTTACCCATCAAGTTTTATTTATACCGTTCGGTGATCAAGTAGAGTTAGTGGATTAATAATTAAAGCTCTATAGGGTCTTCTCGTCTTACGACGAAAACCCCCGCCTTTTCACGGGGAAGTCAAGGTCAACTTCACTGATGAAAACTAAGTTAAATCCTCATGTGGCCATTCATGCGAGTCTTTATTTAGAGAACAAATGATTATGCTACCCTTGCACGGTCAGAGTACCATGGCCGTTGAACATGCGTCACCGGGCAGGCAGTGCCTCTACTACTAGTAATGCTACAGGTGATGTTTTTGGTAAACAGGTAGATTTGAGTAGCTACTTCTCAACCTGTGGGTCTTGACCCCTTTTGGGGACCAACGACCCTTTCACAGGGGTCGCCCGATTCATAACAGTAGCAAAATGACAGCAATGAAAATAATTTTATGGTTGGGGGGGTCACCACCACATGAGGAACTGTATTAAAGGGTGGCAGCATGAGGAAGGTTGAGAACCACTGTCTTCAGCAGTTACAGTCTCCGGGGGAGGGCTGGGGACCCACAGGGCCGCTCTACCCTGTCTTGCAGACTTGCTATGAGTCAGTCTCGACTCAATGGCAGCGAGTTTGGGGAGAAGCGGACAGCCTACCTTTTCCTCTATAAAGCGTACCCAGAAACACCATCATCTGATTTCTTCATTTCAATTTTAAATGTAAAATAAATACATTTCATATTCTTGTTTATAAAATTTCAAATAATATTAAAGCACAAACATGAAAATAACCCCTTCACCATCAGTCACACCATCACCATCACCATCATCATCACCACCACTCCAAACACCAAACACCCATAACTGCCAATCCCGCTGACGAGTGATGGCTGTGGCCTTCCACGGGATTTCTTTCCATTAAAAAAAAAAGGAATAGAAAGATGGGACAGTTCTCTCCAATTGCTGGTGCCTGGAGTTCCTTCTCTGGACATGCCTTTTAATGTTGAGAACACCAGCAAGTCCCCTGAGCTCTTCCAAGGTTTCGTTTTACATTTTTAGCCTCTTTACTTCACACTGCATTAGAAATGAGAAAAGCTCTGAAAAGGAGGGCAGCTAGGTTTTTTCGGTTCCCTCAAGTTATTTTTCTAACTGTGCACTCTCGCTCACACGGCCCCTCCCAAATCTCTGACCTCCAACGACAGAACTCACTCAGGGCCCGAGCCCCCAAGTCCTAGCTGTGTCCGCTCTAGTTCACCTTCGTCTCACGAGCTTTAGACATGTCATGAGGAGGGATGAGTCCCCTGAGAAGGACATCGTGCTGGATGGAGTGGAGAGTAGTAGGAAAGTAGAAGGCCTTCCATGGGATGGATGGACACCGTGGCTACAACACTGGCCTCAAACAGGACCACCGTGAGGGTGACACAAGACTGGGCAGGGTTGTGTTCCATTGTCCATGGAATCACAGTGAGTTGGACTCCCCTCAGTGACGCCCAATAACAATAACACGCTATCTCCAGAAGTGGGAAGTGCTAGCAGGGGACATAAACGATTGTAGATACTGTAGCCAGATTACTACCCACTTCTGGGCCTTTATAGCTACAGGTAGTCCCCAATTTAGGAAGTATTCAAGAGTCCATGTCTGTGCTTAAGACCATCCGCATTTTGTGTGGTTGGCTTTTTGTCTTTGTTTTGTTTGTTTGAGTTTTTAACATTAACTATATTACAGCACATACTGTTCTGATGTTACCACTCACTCTCCAGATTTTCAACTTTATAGTTAGTTGTTCAAAACGCTGCTGTGTAGATTTAGTTTCCAAAACTACACCAGAGGATTCACTTCCTTAAAAAGGTAGACCCAAGCGTTGATCGCTTTACTAAAGTCAATTGGCAGAATCAAGAAGCATGAACTGTTACTGAGAAATACATGAAGAAAAAGGAGAAGGACCACACAGGCAACTCTTACTCATTTTTCTGACCAGAAATATCACCCCTATTCCCAGGGGTAATCCAAATAATCAAAGACCTTCCACCAGTGAGATGAGTACCGCAATCAACAAAATGCCAGTGCCATCCAGCACAACATATATATACTGATGAGGAAGTGTTGGATAGCATTGGTATATATATAATATAAATTATGTCATTGGCATATATATATAATATGTATATTATGACTTGTGTATTTTATACAGTCGCCGTGACTCAATGGCAGTGAGTTGGCTGTACTTTTTATATATGTATGTATTAAAAGGTATCTGTGAGTTTATGTAGGAGCCCTGGTGGAACTGTGGGCATTGGGCTATGAATTGCAAAGTTGGCAGTTGAAACCCATGAATAGGACAAGGTAGACCTGCTCCTGTGAATTTACAAGACTGTCACTCTTTACAGGAGTTGAAAGCCTCATCATCTCCTATGGAGTGGCTGGTGATTTCAAACTGTTGACCTTGAGGTTGCCAGCCCAATGCATAAGCCATCCCAGTTGAAACTTTATCTTATCATTATCGTTATTGAACTGCTCTGAATCATTCGTGAACTAGTTTTATGATGTTGAATAGTATATCTCCTTTGGAGCTGAAGATCATAGAGGGGCATCCTGGTTTAATTCTGTAGTATTTATTTTCTCTTAGTTCATAACTAAAGCTTCCATTATCAAGGCTGTGTTATTGTTGTGTACACTGAGTTAAACTCTTATCATATTATATTATCTTTATTCTGCTGTGGATGGCCTCTTTAACTCAGGTCAATTTTACAGGAATTAGAATTTTCCGAAGTTAAAAAAAAAAAGCCCAGCAATGGATGTACAGCTTGTTATAAGAGCTGTAAGAGCCCCCAGTAAAATGATTTTTTTAATGCCCAGATATGTTAAGTGAAGGTGCCTTTACAATAGCTTTGAATGGAACAGAGTGGACTTTTTCAGCTTATGTATCAGTCTTTCCTACCTACATGCTTTCTATTATGACATTTTTATCTTTGATAGCTCCTTCAGTCATTTAGTCTGCTCTCTTGTCAGAACCACTTATTGTATGTATGTTGGCTCTTCACAGCCTAACATACATGTAGAAAAGTTTCCAGTCTCCAAAAGCATCCTGAAATCTTGATGACCGTTTCATGTGCTATTGTTTCCTAGGATGTCCACGGAAGAACAGAACAAAGGGGAACTGCTTATCTATAACACTGTACTCAATCACTACAGGAAACTCAAAGTGGAAATTTCAAATGCCATAAATGAGACATTTCCTTTCCTGGAGGGCCTCCGAGACCGTGGATTTATCACCGCAAAATTGTTTTCAGTGAGTGACATTTGCAAAGCCAAAACCATTCCAAGCTGCATCATGCTTTTGTGCTCCACAATAGTCCTGTCGGTAGAAAGTGAGAAGAAAAGCAGGCCCCAACCCCCAAGACCTCCCAAAATCTCACGGAAGGAACTGTCTTCCATGATGCCCATGGGGGCGGAGGGGAGGGGACAGAGTGACCCTAGAAATAGGCTGCCTCAAGAAAGCACGCATGCTCCATAACTCACTGTCACCGAGTCGATGGTGACTCACCGTGACCCCGTAGCACGGCCCTGTGAATGTCCAGACGGCAACTGCTGATGGGAGGAGAAAGGCCTGTCTTCCTCCTGTGGAGTGGCTGGTGGTTTCAAACTGCCGAC